AATGGCACTTAAAAAATGATATTGGATATACTCACTGACTTGCTACAAAAGCAGCACATGTTACTATCGTTCTAATTTTCCTTAGCTAAATTATTCTTGTTATTAAGGATGACCACCTCTTTTAAAGTACTACCACATAAAAAAATATTTTGAGAGGTACTTCAAATACCAAAATTCCTTTATTTTCGTAACTCCGTTATTGACAGTTTTCCTATGCCGTGGTATTTCGCGATCTTCGGTGCTTCCCGGCCGCTAGGCGCTAGCTATAGGTACGGACGTACATGCACGGTGCACAGTCGGGAGGAATTAACAGCTACGGCCGTCCTCGCGTTGCGCAGCTGTGCGCGCTATACTGTCGTGCGTCGTCCTTCAGTTTCGGGCGCGCGCTCGTGAATCGCGCCCCGCCACCCCGCCCCCCGCAGCTGGTAGTGGTAGAATAGAAACGAGTGCGCGTCCTGCGCCGCGCACGGCAGCTGGTAGCTGGTAGTGGTAGAATAGAAACGCGTGCGTGGGCGCAGCGGCGGGCATCACCCCGCCCGTGCAAGCGTGGCTCGCGTACGCTGGCTGTTGGCGTGGTCCGCGCCAGGGAAGCGGGCGAGTGCCCGCGCGGTGTGCAGTCATCATCCGGTGATCCAGGAACGAAGTCGGCACTCTCGGCAGCTAGGCCGCCGCAGCCACGGACAAGGAAGCAGGCAAAGCTAGCTATCGCGGGCCTTTTTAAATTGAACTTAGAGTGAAAGGATGGCGGCCATAGCCCACCGGGTGAGGCAGGCTGCCACAGCCCACAGCCCACATGGTGTACGTGGTGACTGCCTGATTGGTCAGTGGTGACGACGAAGCTAGCAGGCTGGGGACGACGACGTGCTGGCGCCGCAAAAAATGGCGGCTAGGAGCATGTGGCATCTGGCATCTGCCCTGCCCCGGGCCGGGGGCCGGGGCCATGCGAAGCAATGCCAGTAGGAAACTAGGAAGTTGCTGTTGGTTTCATCGTTTGTCGTCAATTTCCAACAGGTTTATTTGTCACCTCTGTGTTAAACCTACCGATACTGTCCAATCTTCGGCGCCGGGTTGTAGCTGATTAGTCAGGGTTCCTCCATACTCCCCTACTTTCCATCAGTGCGCCACAAGTTGTAATCCAGTCATATTCGTGCTAACGAACGAAGCTACTGAACTTTGGAGTGCCCAACACTGGCTCTGACGACGTAGTACGTGTACGTACCCCTCACTTGGACACGCTGTTATGGCCCTGTTCAATTTGCAAAAAAGACAGGTTGAAAAATATTGTTCGCTAATTTGTTGCGAGAAAAAAGTATAGGTGGTAAGCCGAATCTCAATCCTTGTGGCAAATCAAAGCTGCTACATGATCCACATCCGCTATCAGTGCCGCCTGCCGCCTGTATAGGCACCTACCATTTGGGTACTACGGTAGGTATAATCCACCTAATCCGTGGAAATATTCGGACAGCAAGTACACGCCAGTAGGTGGCTGGCTACTCGATCGCCGAGCAAAGGCCCAAAGCTGGTGCCCGCGCCAGCAGCGCACGCACGCGAGCTGCGGGCTGCTTTTAGCTGCTGCTGGGAGACAGTTATTAAGCTCAACAGAGCTATAGCAAGCAGATCTCACTCATCCGATCGAGCGAAAATATGTGGCCGCGCGCGTACGGACCGCACAGAAAATCCCCCTCCCCCGAAATATCCCGGCCTCGTTAGATCGGAGTTAGGAATAAGCATGTGATACTGTAGCATTTTCGTTTGTATTTGATAATTATTGTTCAATTATGATTTAACTAGGCTTAAAAGATTCGTCTCGTAATTTACAATCAAACTGTGTAATTAGTTAATTTTTTTTATCTATATTTAATACTCCATGCATGTGTTTAAAGATTTGATGCGATGAAGAAAGTGAAAAAACTTGCAATCTAAGGCCCCAGCTTTTGGGACTGGCCTGTAGCGATTGCCAGCAGCGGGGGCGGGAGTGGCGTGGCAGCAGGCGGCTGCGGCTCCACCTCGTCGTCTCTGCCGTGTAGTGGAGCATTGGAGCCAGCCGGTCGTTGTCGGCCACGGGCCACCCCAAGTCTTGGGCCTTTTTCGGCCGCACTCCGCCCGGCCCTAGCTGTTTATAAAGTCTTTCACCGTTAAGCTTTATCGTTTATGTGATTTATAAATCGACGATGTTGTTTTTTATTGTGAAAAAACACCATATCATAATTGATAAACATGACTAATATGATCAAGCGAGAACAGGTGTTTGCTCCTCGCCGTGTCTTCAGCAGTAGTTAATGCTACTGGACCGTGAAAAGATTTGCTGGTGTACTCCCTCCGCCCGAATTAACTATCCTACAATCTCACCTCTCTCAAAAGTTAATTGTTTCAGAGTTTGATCAGATACATAAAAAAAAATACTTTCAGATTAACAGTAGGATACACTTTCTTAATAAATTTAAATAAATAAAGATGCTAGGAACATTTGATGTCTTTCATTAAATCTAGAAAACAGAGCCGTTTTAAAAAAATGTTTTTCACGAGAGCTGCAGCTTCTTGGAGTTGCTTTTTCAGAGAACTAGAGCCGGAGGTTTATCTTAGGAGCTAGATGATGTAAGGCCTTGTTTCATCCACCGGCTAAACTTTAGTTGCTAGGAATTCAAATAGGTGCAACTAAAACTTAGCTAAACTTTACCTAAAGACAGAAATGTACACACTTTAGCTGTTCCAACTTAGTTAAAATATGGTTAAAGATGAAACCATCCCTCTATTTTTCTATGTCCACATCATGCTAAACAATTGTAAGGACAACATGGTAAATAAACCTCAACTAGGTAGAGGATCCAAATTATCCCATTTAAACTTTAGCCAAAGTTTAGCTACGATGGATTAAAAAAAACAAGACCAAAATATGTCTACCATATTCTAGGAAACAAATGACGTGATTTCTATCCTGCCATACGCGACAATGGCTACCGACGTGGTGTACCGTGAAACTGTCAGCGAGCAGGAGGCAATAGCGCAACCATGGCCTTTTCCCTGTAGTCCATCAGTTCATGTTTAGTGTGTGACTGTGTCAATCTATCACAGGTTCACAGCATGGTACTTTGAGGATGTAGCATCATCGGATGCTTTTGGACTGCTAACCATTTTAAAGGCTATAAATACTGTCCAGGACACATGACAGGAGCTCGTTAATTGTGCGGTACCGGATTGGGCATCTATTATAGCAACGCTCTCATTGTTTTTGTAGTGCATGCCATGATCCTCGCACGCATGATTTATTATCCCGATATTGCCCCTAAGGTCATTCTCAGCGTCTGAAAGTTTTATCAGACTTTCATTTTTTTATATTTAATAAGTTGTCATATAAACATTTTCGATGACGTGACAACGTTTTTAAAAAGAGAGAAGAAATGAGTTTTGTGGGGGATGAAATTCTATTAGCATGATTGTTAACTCTCTGAGTCATAAAATTAAATATATATAAAACCATAGAATGAAATTTTCTATTAAGTGTCAGTGTTTCATTCATATTTAATTTCATTTAATATGATATGACAGTTTTGGAAACAATGCCACAAAACTTCTTACTGAGACTAGTCTAAGGTGTACAGCGCGGGTTTCTTAACGCATTCACCTTGTGTTTTCCCTTTCCGATCCATCCACCTAGAGTGCACCATCGTTGTACAGGTAGTAAGGCATTGTTTGAATTCGAAGGGATTCTAAGACTCCAGATAAAAAAGAATTCCAACAGTTTTACTAGATTCCGAGTGAGTTAAAATTCATCTAAAATCTAAGCCGTTTGGATGAGATATTAGGACCATGGGATTTTTTTCTACTATCTAGATTCTCAAAATCGGAAGGATTCAGATGGGGCCTAAGTTTTCAAGAATCGGTATTGGCTAAGCTATACGTACCAGATAATTTGTATACCTTCAAGAATGGGTGTTGGCTGAGCCATATACGTACCATATAATTTGTACCTTCAAGAATGGGTGTTGGCCGAGTCACACACGTACCATACCATGTTGGTAGACAACCTAACCATGTTTTGTTATTAAATTTGTTATTAAACTTGACTAAATGTAGAGAAAACAGTCAAACATTTATGACACCAAATATCAATCTATAATATTGTACCCTTGCTTATCTAACAATATTTTTTTGCTATTTGCTATATCGATATTTTATATGTTTCTCAACCTCCTAATTATTGCATTTCTATGTGTTGGTAGTACTCTGATTACAAAAAAAGCCCCACATATTACATTTTTCTTTTGCCTCATCGGTGTAATCCTTATTTTCATGTGGCACTCTCATTAGTCCTCACTACCGTCGACCGTCACCATGACAATCGTTGCCTTGTTCAAGTATCACCTACCAGTATTCTCTATTATGTGATTATTGCACAATAGTTGCATACTTTGTTGTGCAGTAATCACTACTGTAAACAAACCGAATAAATTGTAGCGCACGTCAGTGTGCTAAAATAATACATATATGTTAGCTTTTGTGTGTCTATCTAGATACATAATAAAAGTAAGTTATGTATCTAGAAAATATCGAAACGACCTATAAATTAGAAGTACTAAAATTCAAGTGCCTCAAAATACACGAGTGAATTTGTCTTTTCCCGTTTGATATTTGCATTTTATTAAACAGGCAACTGTTCATCCACGGACAAGCAAAAGGGAAAATAACAGACAGGGGCATTAAGGTAAATCCGACAGTGCCATACTGCCATACTCTCCCCCGGGCCCGGGGCCCCGGTGGGCTGGCGCCCGCGCGAACGGCGATTGCGCTTCGCCTCGTGGCCGTGCGCGCTAATTATAAACCGCGTTCTGTTACTAAACCGGCGTCCCGTTCCCCCAGCGTGCGTTTCGTAAGCCGACCACGCGAAGCATCCAGCGTTGCTCAACTCTGTTCGCCACTCCCCACTGCCAGTCTGCCACCCTCCATGCCCATGCCCCACCACCACCTCGCCGCCTCGAGGCCAGAACCCTAGGCAGCCCCCAATGCCGCCCCACCGCCTCCTCCTCCCCCTCCTCCACCTCCTCCTGCCCCTCGGCCTCGGCCTCTCCGGCGCCGCCGCTGCCGGAGGGAACGCCACGTCGGCGCCGCTCGCCTGCTCCGAGCTCTCGCGCGTCTGCACGGCCTTCCTCGCCTTCCCGGCTGCCGGCGCGGGGGCCGCCAATGCCACGCTGCTCGAGTCCATGTTCGACGCCGCGCCGGGGGACCTCACGGCCGACGCCGCGGCCAGCCCGGGGTACGCCTTCGTGCGTAAGAACTGCTCCTGCCTCCCGTCCCGCACCTACCTCGCCAACACCACCTACACCATCCCCTCCTCCGCGACGGTCTCCTCCCCCAATGCCACCGCCGCCGATGTCGCGGCCGCGGCGTACGCGGGCCTCGCCGTGCCGCCGCCTGGCGGGGCGGCGCAGCGACCGCCGCGACCGGGGGCGGTTGTGGCGCTCCACCTGCTCTGCGGCTGCTCGTCCGGGCCCTGGAACTACCTTCTCAGCTACGTCGGCGTCGAGGGGGACACGGTGGAATCACTGTCGAGTAGGTTCGGGACGAGCATGGATGCCATCGAGGCTGCCAATGCCATGGCCGGCCCCGACCCCATCACCGCGGGGAAGGTGTACTACATCCCACTCAACTCAGGTCAGTCATACCAATGTTTGCGATCATTTTGGACAAGTCAATCAAATGTTTCTCTCTTTGTTCAATTCGCTGTGAAAAGATTGATAGTTCCTTCTGTCTCAAAGTTTGTTGGGTTGTTGCAATTGCAAGCATGGATCTCTAAATAATTGCTCGTTTATGAAGTACGGATCCTCTTGCTCTTTTATGAAGTACGGATCCTCTGGATTTATTGGTCTGGGCTTGTGAGGCGTACCACGAAGTTCACGTTTTACGTCTTGTGATTGCTCTGGAAATTACCAATTGTCCCAGGACCATGCTGTGGACACGGTGAACTATCGTGTCAAAATTGTACGCTAAATGTGTTCTTTAGTGAAGTGGCAGGTACTCCTTGCCCAATGATCAGCTGCAACTCAGCTTGTTGAACATCATTGGGTCTAAACAAGTTCCTGAAAATTGCTACCACCAGAGACTAGTATAACTAACTTCATTACTTTGAGGTTACATACTAAATGGAGTAAAATAGTCTCTTACTGGTCTGGTAGCAGCATCTCGTAGTGTGCTTTTATGTAGTTCTAGGTTGGCACGAGGTATATGTGACATTGGGTGATTGCACTAACACATGCCCTGCACCTAATCTTCATTAAGAATTGAACCCAGTTACATGCATACTATGTAGTAGTTGAGATATTTGGTGGCAGTGACACATTAAGTTTCTCACTCTGGCTGCTCTGTGCCCAGTTCTCCAGCATTTGATTGCTGAGCCTCCCAATAATATCCAATGTCAGCTTTCTTGGTCAGCTGAAGCCTCTGATCTGTTTTTCCTACTTCGTGGTGTTAGTTTTTCTTTACCACTATTACTATTCTTGTCCACACAATTCTTTTCTTCTTGCAATGTTTAAAAGGAAACCTTACTTTGTGTAATCCTTTTTTATATAATTTCTTGTAAATTTCCATCTAATGTTTGTAATAGACTTGTTTTTGGAAGAGTTCCTTAATGACTACTCCATCCTCATTGTCCTGTACCAATTTGCAGTTCCTGGACAGGCGTATGTTACACTACCTGCTCCTCCTGCTCCTGCCCCAGCGCCAACAGATTACACATTGTCAGGTTGCTGTTCTTATTTGTAACTCGTTTTGTAATGTTCTGAGTAGGTAGTCACTGTGAGTGATAATTTAATACTGACCTGAAACATATTTTCAGGTAGTCGTTACAATTTACAACTCATTTGTTGATATTTTGGTTTACATAGCCATTCCATGATTTTGTGGTAATACAGTATGCTGTATTTTCTGGGTAACCTTTAGGCAGGCTGGATGTTGTTTGAGAATAATCAGTGACAGAGTTATTTACAATATGCATATTCCACTTTTTTTTGCTTATTTTATTTCGATTTTCTTTCAGTTAGCACTCTTTTTATGGTCTTGATCCTATATTTCTCTACCAAGTATCATCATTGAAAAATGTCAGTTTTGGTATCAAGTATTATATACAATCAACAGTATTCTTGTTATGATAATCTAACAAAGTATCCTCTGGCATACAACTGCAGAGACACCAGATCACCATTCGACCAAATTTCCTTATGGATGGGTTATTGGTAGCATGGGAGTTGCACTTGCTTTAATTGCTATTGCTGTCCTTGCACTTGTCCTATGGAAATTCTTTGGATATAATCCCCAAGATCCTAATAACCAGGGAAAGAGCCCAGACCGACATAAGTTTCAACTTCTTAAGAGTGGTAGTTTCTGTTATGGTTCTGGAAGATACTTGTGTTGCCAATTTGGAAATGCAAAGCCAACAAGAGCGGATGGTGGTGATCATCATATCAATGTCCCCAAAGGTCAGTTTACTGTTTGTTAACCAGTCCCATAAAAAGGAGCACAAGGAACTGCTCTCAAGCCTACGCTTGTTCTGGAGGTGGACCAAGTAGTTTCTTGAAATAGGATACAGTGGAAATTTCAATTGAGATACAGGGCAACAAATTCACACTTAGTATTAAATTAATACCAGCACAAATTAGCTACTGTTATTTTTGTTTTGCTTCTTATAACTGATTCAAGCCTCCAAAACAGGCATGGCAGCAGATGTATTTGATAGGGAGAAGCCTATTGTGTTTACGTACGAAGAAATACTCACATCAACTGACTCATTTTCTGATGCAAATCTTCTTGGTCATGGTACATATGGTTCTGTCTATTATGGTGTTCTCCGAGACCAGGTCCAACATCGAAGCTGCCCACTTGTATGCATAATATTCCTTGTCATTGCCTTCTCAATAGTAAAAAATGTTGTCTACAGGAGGTTGCGATAAAGAGAATGATGGCCACTAAAACAAAAGAATTCATAGTGGAGATGAAAGTTCTTTGTAAGGTTCATCATGCTAGTCTGGTACGGTGTTTTATTGCTTATCACAAAATCCTATTATAAATTCATTTATTGCTGTTACATGTTTACTGAACTTTCATTGTGTGACCCATGTTTTGTCAAAGGTAGAATTGATTGGCTATGCAGCAAGTAAGGATGAGCTTTTCCTGGTTTATGAGTACTCTCAAAATGGTTCGCTCAAGAATCATCTACATGACCCTGAAAGCAAGGGTACCTCATCTGACACTTGATTTCTGAAAGATTTTCTTGCTCTTAGATATGACTTTCAGCTTTATAAAGTAGTAACATGTTCATAAGCTGTTCATTTGTTAGGACTGTGGAACCCCCCGTGTCGATACCTTTCACGTTTACTGGTTCCAGAACGTTGTGTTACCACTTACCAGTGTTTCAATCAAAAGTCTCCAGGCTCTATGCGAGCATTAGACTTCCACCTAGCACCTAGCCCACCTAGGGAGTGAAATGTTCTCCAGGAGGCAAGGAGGGGACTGGGGAGCACGCTTTATGTGAATATTTACATCTTGCTTAAATGAAATGCCATGTTAAAAGAAAAAAGTGGGCCACATAGAGAGACATTGTCTTAAGAATGGGACTACTGTTTACACCCTCCATCCCAAAAAGAGTGCCTTTCTAGCTATGTTTGTCAAGAACTCTAGATTCATAGCAAGAATGACACTCTTTTTGGGTCAGAGGGTGTATGTGCTATGCTATGGGCAGCCTTGGACCACCAAGTACTGCCTAGGGATCACCTACCACCAAGTACTGCCTAGGGATCACCTAAGTACACGTAATTCTATTTGTCCTCGGTAGGGATCACCTAAGTACACGTAATTCTATTTGTCCTCGGTAGTTCTGGACTCATATTTTATGCCTCACTTGGTACTATGTTACCATTTGTTTGAACACCTAATTATGCTACCTCCACAGGATTTAGCATTGTTGATTGATTTTTTTTTTTATTTCTTCCAGGGTGTTCATCACTTTCATGGATCTTTAGGGTCCAAATTGCACTTGATGCTGCTAGAGGACTAGAATACATTCATGAGCACACCAAAGATCATTATGTTCATAGAGACATTAAATCAAGTAATATCTTGCTTGATGGTTCCTTGAGAGCGAAGGTTAGGTGATTTAAATTATTTGGTTCCCTTTTTCTTCCATCAACTGAAGGGCAGGCCTGGTGTAGTGGTGAGAGCTGTCTCACTGAGTCACCAGGTCGCGGGTTCGAAGCAGCCTCTCCGTAGATTTTGCGGGGGGAAGGCTTGCCTCGGTTTTTCCCTTCCCTAGACCCCACTCATGTGGGAGCCTCCGGCACTGGGTCTGCCTTTTTCTTGCATCAACTAAATAACTAATACCTTGTGTATTGCATCTTCTGCCTTTACAGATTTCAGATTTTGGCCTTGCAAAACTTGTAGTGAAATCCAGTGATGCAGAGGCTTCTGTCACTAAGGTTGTTGGAACTTTTGGTTATCTGGCCCCTGAGTAAGTGCATATTTGCTGTGATTGTTTTAATTAAAAGCAAACTTTTTCTCTAACTATGGCATTGTAACAATCTTTCATTGATCTTTTAGATACCTGCGGGATGGCCTGGCAACTACAAAGAGTGATGTCTATGCTTTTGGTGTGGTACTTTTTGAGCTAATATCTGGAAAAGAGGCGATTACAAGAGCTGAAGGAATGGGTGCAAGCTCAAACTCTGAGAGACGCTCACTGGCATCAGTTGTAAGTTTTCAGTTCAGTGTTAGTTGACTTTCTAATGTTGTACCTTAGGATTTACCATTATCTTACCATTGAAGTGGCATAGAACTTCTGTTGAACTTTGTTCAAGTTTCTAATTTATTTGTTTTTATTTACTCCAAAAGTCTTAAGCAACTTTGGTTTTGTACTGCACAGATGTTAACTGCTCTAAGGAAATGTCCTAATTCAATGTATATGGGGAACCTGAAAGACTGCATTGACCATAATCTAAGGGATCTGTATCCTCATGACTGTGCGTACAAGGTATGAACTTTAAACTCATGTACTTCTTGCAGTGAACTAGGATTTTCCTAGTTATCTTTCCAGCCCATTTTGTGGCACCCTTGCTCGTCGTTCTGAACCCCCTAAAATGCTTTTCCTAAGATGGCCATGCTAGCGAAACAGTGCGTGGACGAAGATCCTGTTCTACGGCCGGACATGAAGCAGGTGGTGATCACGCTCTCTCAAATACTGCTGTCTTCTATCGAGTGGGAGGCGACACAGGCTGGGAACAGCCAAGTGTTCAGTGGTCTTGTGGCGGGGAGGTGATCTGGTCACACTGGCCTGTGATGCTGCTGTACATGCTCTTCAGTGATTTAGTCACCTGATCCATTGGGGGCATATATTCGCCTGTAGCCCTCCTCTTTATATCTTATTACTGGTCCTTTGTCCAGTTGAGCGATTTTTGTTTTTTTTGAGCTCTGAGAGAATACCTACTCGAGTGCAATATATTTCTTGGTTGGTGGTACAGTATGTAGCTACGTATGTATACAAGAATCTACCTTGCAATGCAATTTCACCATGAGTCATTTCGTTTGTTCCGCTGCTGCTATGCCCTGACTTGTGTTTGTAGCCCAAGTTCAGCAGCAGCGACTGCAATGTGTACTTGTGTATTGTGGGTTCTTGGACCCTCTTATCACGTTGGTAAGTTGCCAAAGCAGAAATATTCTAAGAGCAGTTCTAACCAAGAAACTATAGAGTAGTTTTTATACTTCGATGTTATATAAACACTATACATTGAAACTATATTCATATTCATAATAGATAGTTTTTACAAAATATTTTCTTGGTCAATCCATTTTCTTTTCTCTCCTATTATCTACCTATCACATTTTTATATCTTAATTCCCATGTAAACATATTTTTTTTATCAAAAACATTTCCTTCTCTTTCTTAATTTCAATATTATATCACCAACTTTACTTATTTAACATATACTAATTTAAAATCAATAGCATAATCCTAATCATCTCATTATATATACTTTATTTATACATCCTGGGACCTGCAACTTAATGTCCCTGCACCTGCAGCTTGGGCTCTGTGAAGTCCAAAAAGATGTGCACACACATGGCCCCAAAAAAACATGGTGTTCAGGTTCCAACTGTGCACCGGTAGGCCACTGCTCGTTAGGACTTGGGAGGAAAATTTGGAATCGCGTTCTGAAATGAAATACAAATTTCTCTCAAACCGTTGATCATTTCTGAATATTTTCGGCACCATTGTGTTCCTCACAGTAAAAAACTTGAGAATATAAGATCCATGTTTCAAATACTATCTCGGCCACAAAATAAATTGATTCCTAGAATCATTTAAAGTTATAAACTATCTTAAGTCTAACCAACTCTATAAAAAAGAGTTGCTCGTAAAAAAAAACTCTATAAAAAAGAGTAACAACATCTATCATACCTAATAAGTATATTGTCCAAATAAATTTCATGATGTATCTATCTAGTGATACTAATTTGGTGTCATAGTTTTTTTTCTATTAGTTTGGTTAAACTTAAAAAAAATAGACCTATGACAACTCTAAAAATTGATTTACTTTCAATCAGATGGAGTTTTTTTTTTTTCTGAATAGCACACAGCAGCCAAAATTACTACGTACTTCCCTCCCTTTTTCGTGTGGCCTCGGGAGAATGGCCTTACAAAACATTTGTCCAGTAAACCATATCAAGGTATAATTATTGCAAATTTGCAATATCTCCATTCTCTAACCCTATTGAAACAAGAGAAATAGTTCTATCATGCTATTTAATAGGGTTATGGATGGTCAATTAAGGTCCTGTTTGGTCTTAGAATCTGAGAGAAATTGAAAAGTAAATTTAGTCACCTTGCTTATGATCTGATTCCTTCCTCATTGGCACCCCGCATTTGATCTGATTCCTTCCTCATGGTGACACTTTGCTCGCCATTTCGGTGAATAGAGGAACAAGCCGCACCACAACCTAAATTAAACACGTACTGAATACATAGGCTGAGCCTCGATGCCTTGTGCACCAAATTTCACGGTGAGGATGTTTGACATTTGAAACAAAGAACATGTTGGAGACAAAATAGTATTTTTCTCTCATAACAAATCAATATGAGCCAAATTTTAACGAAACGAACACGGCCGAGCCGACGGCAAGGTGGAGCAACCGTTGGAGACAGAAATGTAGGGACAGGAAAGCTGTGTCTGGGTATTGGTCAACATCAAGAAAAGCACACTGCTATCAACCGTCAAACAAAGCAATTATTGGCTGTTGTAAAAGAAAAAAAAGAGAAGCTATTATTAGTTTACTGTCGGTGTGAATTATTGAGGCAGAAGATTCATACTCCTACTCTAGCATTTCTACCGCGGTCCCATCGAGGTATTAAGCCCTTGTTTAGTTCTCACCTTAAAACTTTATATCCTGTTACATTGAATGTTTGATACATACATAATTTATGAGACGAATCTTTTAAGCCTAATTAGACCATAATTTGATAATAAAGTGCTACAGTAATACATGTGCTAATGATTGATTAATTATGCTTAATAAATTCGTGTCGCGGTTTACTGACAGATTCTGTAATTTATTTTTTTATTAGTATCCGAACACCCCATGTGACACCCCTATATAACATCTGATGTGACATACAAAACTTTACACGCTGGATCTAACACAAAGCCTAAGTATTAGAGCTATTGGTCTAGAGATAGCACTTTGCAACTTAGTGGCTACTATTTAATTCGTCTTTTTCAGCTTGTTTTTTCAACCGGAACAGTATTTTTCTCTCACAACAAATCAGCCAGAACAGTGTTTCGTCTTGTTTTTTCAGCGAAGCGAACGGGGCCTGTAACGCATCCGATCCTGCATAGCAGGCCAAATCAACTCTATAACTAATAAAATCCTAGTTGATTCTAAATCTCAACCTATTGCTGCCACGCTTTCCTATCTCCATTCCCTGATGAGTAGACCCATTGTTTACAAAACTAATTAATGACCAGCCATTAAATCAACAAGAAACATCGTGTTACTAAATCAACAGAAAAAATCATGTTTGTTTCTTAATATAAGCTATGTTGGACCAAAACATCAATTATTTGAATTCAACTAAATATCTATTTAATTACTTGTTTTTGAAGTTCTATATTCACTAATCATCAATAATTTAATTTTTAGTTGCTACAAATGTGAGAGTCATTCTCATGATACACATGCATATATTTATGCATAATTATTAGATGCAATTAGAACTTAGCGTCCACTATCCACGATTTGTTACGTAGACATCAATTCGCTACAAACATGTTGTCTGCTATTTATTACCTTGGGTTCGGTCCCAATTCCCAAACTGCTGTTACCGGAGAGGCTGTGTACAAAACATTCGGAACATGCGACTCACTACTCTATATGCCCAAAAGAAAATCCCTCCGTTCAAAATCCTTATATGTTTAGATGAAGTACCATTTCTAGATACATAACTTTAAGAGTTAAATGTACCGTAGATTTATTAATTTTCAATGGCGTGTCGTCTAGATTCATCAATTTTCAAACTGTATTTTTTGTCTATTAACTTTTGGTGGTGTGTCATCCAGGTCCATCAACTTTCAAACTGCATTTTTTGGTCCATTAGCTTTTAATGGTGTGTCATCCAAGTCTATCAACTTTCAAATTGTATTTTTAGGTCCCTAAACTTTTTAACTGGTTCACCGTAGATTCATATCCCTTCGTTTAGCGAATAGATCGGACATGGCATGCCAAATAAGCAGCCACCGTGGAGTAGGTGATGAGTCCATAGCTCCTCAAGATGTTTATGGAGATTTGTCTAGCAATAATTTAAATGTAGCAGCTGGTAATTCGTTAATATCCTTTGATCTTAAATTTGAGACTATTATTTTTAAGGATAAATATATTGTGGACATGAAGAAATTTACATCTGTTAGACTGTCATCAAAGATATTTTATAGAGGTGCCTTATTATTGCGTGGAAAGGAGAAGAAAATAAAGCCAACAAAATACATCAATACTAATTCTAAAGAGATGGAGATCATCAATGGAATTTTCCCAACGCGATTAGCATCCTTGCCGTAGTGTTTTATTATTTCCATGCATTAGTTTCCTATCCAGTTGTGGCACACGATCTTTTATCTAGCATCTAGCTTTTAGTGCCTACATGAGTCAAATTGGTGGCTGCGTTTGGACGTGACGTGCATGTTAGCCGAATCAGGGACTCAGGTGTCGATGTTTTACCACCGATAGCCTGCCACGGGGGTCCTCGGGGCAGTATTGTTCGGGCTTCAGCGTATACGGAACTCGACGGTGAACGCAAGAGACGGTTGATTTATCCTGGTTCGGGCCCTCGATCGTTGATCGAGTAATAGCCCTACGTACAGCCGGCGTTAGCCCTTGCGTTGTATTGATTGTGTTGTAGAAAATCGTGATCTCTTGTCTCTAGGAACCCTGCCCTCCTTTATATAGTCAAGAGGTTAGAATCCTAGTCGGTTTACAATGAGAGTTCTTAGTAGGATTACAGGATAATACTACTACTAAGATTACATGGGAAGAATCCTAGTTAGACTAGATCTTCTCTTCTCCCTGCGGGGTATCCTGTGGGTCTCGCACCGACAAGCCCCCGAGTACTTCATGGTTGAGCTCTCGAAGCCTCGTCTTGTTCTTTCAGGCTTTGCCGAGCAAGAATAAGCGTCGTCCGAGTGCTTTCTTGAGCGAAACCGTGTGACGCTCTGTGAGATCTTCGCATGGAGTGTACCTTTTTGAAGAAAAAAGTATTCCCCTTTGGGTGTAGCCTCCGAGCCTCTTGCTATTTGGAACAAGGAACTGGAGGGTCTTGTCTTGAAATCGCTCTGATCCTTCGTTGAAATGTTCCCGAGCGTGTGCCCGGGTTCTTTATCAAAAAGAACTCGGATATAGCTCGGTCCGGCTTCTTTTTGTCATGATTTCTTGAAGTAGTTTTGTCCTGAAGAAGTCTTCTTGGTGACGTGCGCTTTTTTCGAAGAAAAAAGGGCACTCACTGAGTGTAGCCCCCGAGCCTCTTGCTTTTTGGAACAAAGAGTTGGTGGGTCTTCAGTCTGATTTGTTCGAGGAACTGAAATCTTCTCCTTTTGTAGCCTTTGAGCATTTATCTGGGTTCTTTGATTCTAAAAGAACTCGGACGCATTGTTCTTGGTGTATTCTCTGGTAGTCTGTTGTTTGTCAGGTGTAGTTGTATGGTGGTGGTTGAGTGTAAATGTTGCCTGTTCACGGGTTGTACAGTGTTGGCATATTCTTCCGAATATGCTCGTC